TGGTGCCTACCTACTCTTATAAGACCTGGGCTCTCTTTCTAGAACAATTTTGGGAGCATCCAATGGAGCCAAGGACTGCATTGAGGGCTATAGACACTCAATTCTTGGCTGATATGACTAGATGGCCTCCCTGAGGTAAAGGCTACACACTCAAGCTCTCCAGCAAAAGCAGTTTTGCTCCTTCTTTTGGCCAGTAGATACATTTAATGTGACCTGAGGTGTCCTGGGCCCCTCTCAGCTGGGCCAGCCTTGCCTCTATTTCCTGATCTTGAGGTAGGTTGGCTGTCTACTTCCTAAGGAGCAACAGCTCTTTACCCATCAAATACCCATTGTGGGGACATAGTCCTGAGAAGTCTGAACTCTTCTTAAGCAGCGTACCTATACTTCTTGTGCTTCCCTGACAGTGAATCTGACTCTTCAAATCCCATGACTTTCATATGTGCTTATTGGCTACCTTGCCAGGCCTCCCACCTTTCTACATTGTTTCTGTCTTTTTTTTTTTGGTCTTTTTGAGACAGGGTCTCCCTGTAGCCATGGCTGGCCTGGATTCACTAGGCTGGCCTCAAACTTGCAGAGATCCGCCTGTCTCTGCCTCCCAAGTGCTGGGATTAAAGGTGTGTGCCACCACGCCTGGCCTACAACCTGTGTTTGATTCTTGGAATACATATGGTAGAAGGAAAGAACTGACTCCCACAAGTTATCCTCTGATCCTGTGTACACACATGGATGGATGGATGTACATACATCTATTTATACACATACACACAAACACACAATAAATCAGTAAATAAATGATTAAAAAATACATTGTTTTTTGGTCTTTTTTTGATACAGGGTTTCCCTGTAGCCACAGCTGGCCTAGAACTCACTATGGAGACCAGGCTGGCCTCAATCTCACAGAGATCTGCCTGCCTCTGCCTCCCAAGTGCTGACAAAAAATACATTTAAAGAGCTGTCAATACAGTACTGAATTTAATAATTTGTCATTATTAAAGTTAAAATATTTCCCTATATCCATGGCCTGTCTGCTGCTTTACTTCCGTAATACTTTGCTCTGCCCAAGTTTTAATTTTGATACTGAAATGTGACTTTGAGGGGACTAGAGAGATAGCCCAGTGGCTAAGAGCACTGGTTGCTTTTGCAGAGGACCCAGGTTTGATTCCCAGCACCCATATGATGGCTAACAACTGTAACTCCAGTTCCAGGGGATCCAACAGCCTCTTCTGACTTCCGCAGGCATTACATGACACAGGTATACTTACATGCATGCGTGAAATGCAGTCATACACATAAAATAAAATAAAAATAGTAAATTAGTGAGTTCCAGGCAAGCTGGGGCTATAGGGAGACCGTGTTTCAAAAAGACCAAATAGATAAATAAATAGAAATATTACTGTGAGGAAGATTGGAGGAAGATGCTATAAAATATTTTATATTAAACATAGAATGTACAAAGAGAAAAAAAAGACAAAACCCACAAAATATTATTAATATTCTCAAAGAGATAAGAGAAAATATTATGATCGTGTAAAAATATTAGGATGCTATAAAAAGTTTTCAGAGGATAAAAATGAGCTCTTGTAAATTAACATGATTGAAAATAATTGGAAGTTGGGTATGGTGGTACACACCTGTAATCTCAGTATTTGGAAGTCAGAGGCAAGCAAGAGTATCAGGAGTTCAAGGTCAGTTTTGGCTACATAGGGATACCCTATCTCAAAAATACCCGGGGAGGGGGAATGGGGAGGAGGAGGAGGGTGAAGGAGGAGGAGGAGAGGAAGAAGGTACAGGGAGAAAATAGCCTTTATTTACTCATTTATTTATTTATTTGGTCTTTTTGAGACAGGGTCTTCCTGTAGCCCCAGCTGTCCTGGAACTCACCATGTAGACCAGGCTGGCCTGGAACTCACAGAGATCCATCTGCCTCTGCCTCCCAAGTGCTGGGATTAAAGGCATGCACCATCTCGCCGGACTGAAAATGCCCATAGTTTTACCATAAACCCTTAGAAGTAAAGTGAAAGGGCAAAGGACAGGACATGGAAAATAGAGGACCAATTCCAAATCTCAGTAGTGTTTACTCCAAAAGTCAAGAACATCAAAAATAGAAGGGAGAAAATAATTGAAAGTATAATTCAAGAAAACCCCATTGGAACTCTGGGGGATATAGCTCAGTGGCAGAGGACTTTACTGGGTGTAGAGGTGTGAGTTTGTAATCCTAGCACTTGGGAGGTAAACAAGAGGATTAGGAGTTCAAGACCAGCCTTGTCTATATATCTAGATCAAGATCAGCCTGGGCTATATGAGATCTGTCCACCAAAACTGACAAGATGGATCAACAAATAAAGGTGCTTGCTGTCAAGACCTGAGTTTGATCCCTGGGTCCCACGTGGTGGAAGGAGAAAACATATTCACATGGTTGGTTGTCCTTTGACTGCCACACAGATGTTGTGGTACCCACATGCCCACACCCATGCCTCTTATAAATAATAAACAGATGTTTAAAAAGTAAGACTGGGACTGAAGAGATAGCTCAGCAGGTAAGCATTGACTGCTCTTGCAGAAGACCTGGGTTTGATTCCTAGCACCTACATGGTAGCTAACAACTGTCCATAACTCCAGTTCCAGGGGATCCAACACCTTTTTTAAAATTTTATTTATTATTTTTATTTTATGTGTTTGAGTGTATTGCCTGCATGTATGTATGTCAGTGCATCTGTGTCGTGAGGTGCCCTCTTGTCAGAAGAGGGCTTCGAATTCTCCTGGAACTGGAGTTAAGGATGGTTCACAGCCACCATGTGGGTGCTGGGAATCAAACCCAGGTCCTCTGCAAGAGCAGTCAGTGCTCTTAACCACTGAGCCATCTCTCCAGCCCCCAACACCCTCTCTGACCTCCACAGGAATTTCACTACATGGGTGCAGGCAATACACTCATACACATAAAATAAAAATAATAAATGAATAAATAAATAAATAAAAAGTAAGACCAAAGAATAACAATTCAGGAAATACAAGTCCCTAAAACTTAGGGACAAGAATTCCAAATTGGAAGAGCCATTGGGCACCTAGCAGAAGGGAGTCTAATAAACCCTCATGAAGGTTCATATACATGAAATGTCTGAACCATGCTGACAAAAGAAAAGCCTCAAAAACCACCATGGGGTGGGGGGAACAAAACAAAACAGTTTTCATATCAAAACCAGGAATTAAAAAAAGTTTTCATATCAAAACCAGGAATTAAAAAAACAGTTTTCATATAAAAACCAGGAATTAAAGATATTGCTTTATGTTCACAGCAACCCTGGGGGACACCTGGAGGATAGTCCCAGCCCCAAAGAGACTCAGTTCAACCACTATCCTAGTAGGATCACAGAATAGCACACTTTAAAGCCATGTGTTTCTGACATACCACTTCTAGGTGACTACAGGGTGAATTCACCTTCAGGGTAAATCCCATTTCAGGGTCCCAGCCTCCCCTAGGCCTGGAAGGAGCAGGCCAGAGAGGCCTCCCCAGAAAAGCCCAGTTCAGATGAATTAGTAATGTTCTCACAGAAAACTAAGTAAGCAAGGAAGAAGAAAGGCAATTATTAACTATATGGAAGATAGCACAAGGATTCAGGTTAGAACAAGTGTCAGGAGCCACAGGCCCCTCAAATGCAGATCTTGTCACAAAAGGGTTTAATTGAACTAGTGTAACTGTGGGGAAGACAGGAAACCTAAGTATGTAGTACCAGAATAGGGGATAGAAGAAAGACAAACATGTCCCCACCCAGGTGAGGTCAGTGGGTGGCCGTTTTTAATCCTGTCAGGGCAAGTGGAGGTGAATCCCACTAGAGTTGGGGCTGATGTAGGGTGTGGCCAGGAAAATGTTTGTCCAATACCTGTAGAATATTTGTCTCAAACAGCATGCAAGTATAGCTCTAATAGAAAATGAAAGTAAAAGTTGCATTGGTGTACTCTCTGCGAGGCCTGGGAGTGGTTGAAATCATACTGCCTTGGCCTACAACTACAGGTCAGCTGAAAATTGGCTGTGAACAACTGTTCTTGCTTCCAAGGACCAGTCTCTAAATAACCTTTCCTACTCTTTGACAGTAGATGATTCACATTTTATACTTCCTCTTGTTTTGATGGTTGATATCATCTGGGTTTTCCCATCATGGTATGGCTTCATGTGGTCCAGCTTCCCCCACCCATGTTCACTTCCCTCCCCACGCCTCTTGCCTGGCAGAGTGCCCAGGAACCTTACATCTGAGGCCAAGGGCAGGCCCACTCCTGTAGCACCCTGGACTTTTGGATCCCCACCAGCCTGAATTTCAGCTTTGATAAATAAACCTGGGACACCCAGTCCTAGAGTAGCTTACTCCAGATCCCATACTTATAGGGCAATTTATGTACACATGTGACTTAATGAATGGAGTAGATCTGCTTCCCTCATAAGCAGTCCCTTCTGGGGCACCAGACACAGGCTAGATCCAGTTAGACCAATTTAGGGTTTTCACAATCATCTTTTCTCAAAGGAAACTTAAGACACCCACAAAATATCACAGTGGTCCAAGACCCCCAACTTCTCCTAGGAGTACATGGGTTACCCCACGGTTTTTCTATGAATTTCCCCAGGCCATGTCCCTGAGTGAGGGAGGCACGGCCTTTACTTAGTCTAGCTGTGGCAACTATTTTCAAATAACACAAGACCACAACCCGATCCCCACCCCACCTCCTAACATACACTGAAAGTAACTGCGGTTTTCTGGAAGACCTCCTGCCCTTTGCAAAAGAGGCCTCCTTTCCCATGGATTTGAGTTCATGCTGGTTATCTGGTTGTTCAGCCAGACGTGCCCTGGAAAACACCCTCCCAAGACACTGACACACTTGGAGCTAGGAAGAAACGCTTTCAGGGCAGGGCTTTTGGACTTTTCAGAAGCACCAAGGTAACTCCGGTAACCACAAGCCCACAGATGATTGCTCCCAATTTCCCACAGACTCCAGTGAAGTCTCAGTCCTACCTGGTCCCTGGGGCCTTGGGTGCCTTGTGGGCTAACAGGGCTGTCTTATCACAGCCTGGCTGGGCGGAATGTGGTGGAAACCTTTGCCTGGTACAACTGCCGCTGCTCCACAGCCCAGGAATTTTGCGTTGAATAATTTTTAACTTCTGCTCTGAGAAAAAACAGGGTTTGTGTATAGTGTCTGACTACACAAGAATGCCAAGGGGCTTTCACTGAAAAGTGAAGACCTTGAAATAATGAGGAAAAACCTGACTTGGAGAAACAAGAAAAAGAACAACAAGAAAAGATCAGACGAAGGCTGTCCTGGGGGCTTATAGACCCTGCTGGTATCTAGGTCGGGCTGCTGAGCCCTGGCCAGTCCCACCTCAAGGGCAACAGCTTTCCCTAGGGAGAAGCTGAGAACATTGTAGGGGTGGGGAGGACAACTCTCTTCCACGGTAGGTTTATGTTTCCTGGTAGGAGTGGAAGTGCCCTCCTCCATACATTTCTGCATGCACTACTGGTTCACAGCCACTGCACTCAGTCTCAGTGGTGAGCACCCAAGAATCTACCCCAGGAGAGTCAGTTCCCTCCTTATCTGATACTGAGGCTTAGACCCTGCTTGCAGGCAAGACCTGTAGTCATCTGTTAGTCCGGGCAGCTCTTCTGCCTTGATGAGATGCTAAAGTGATGATGACCTCAGGACTCTGCAACTAGACAAGGAGGAGCCTGCATCCCATGGGTCCTGTGGCCACCTGCATCGGGGTGGGGGAAAACAACCTGGCCACCCAGCCCTAAGTGACTGTCATAGTGAGTTGGAGAACTCTAATCCTAGAGCCAGATTTGTCCCCGAGAGACCATATGTCTCACCTCCTATGAGACAAGCATGCTCACTGCCCTTCCAAGTGCCCAGGTAGGGCCTATAAATCCCATATGGTGAGTACCTATCTGCAAGGGCCACAAAGGCTGATAGCATCTAAGAGCTGTGGTGGCTGCTCAGCTCATTCTGTTCAGCCACACAGTCGCAGCCTGCTGAGAGCCATTGCCACTGTGTGTGTTAGCGGGCCCTGGCAGACAGAGGGCAGGCAGGATCGTCTACGCTGTGTTCTATTGAATCCTGCACACCCCTGAGCCCCAATCACATTGTAATGATTAGCCAATGCAGTCACTCTAGGCCCATGCATGGGATAGACTGCTGTGAATCTCTCAGAACCTAGTAGCCTTGGGTAAGGTCCACCTTGGGTGTAGACCCACCAGGCTGCAGATAGCCAGGAATCCTCTGAAAAGGTCTTTGTTCTCACCTTGGGAGGAGATTGCTAGCCTGCCCTTGTGCTCCTGTACCCTATTCCCTGTGGACTGTCTTGTGATGGTTGTTTTCAGTATGGGCACCAACCTTGTTTCCCTTGCATTGTCCCTTCATTCCCCTAGCATCCAGTACAGGATGCATCCATGTCACCCCTGAATTGTTGCCAACCCATGTGCTGGGACACTGTCCAGCTGAAGGGACACTCAACCTGGCTCATTAGGCCACCTTCAGACTGTCCTGCGTACACTCCTCCTGGCCCCATAGCCCATACAAGCACTAGGGGTTGGCCTTGCCCATTGATGGGTGACAAAAGCCCCTCTTAGGGTTCTATTTGCATGTCTAATGCTGATGCTGGGCCTTTACTCACAGGAGGCCCCCGGGCTCAAGGGCACCCTTTTGTAAAATGTCACTCACAGGTTCTTGCCAGTTGTTCCACATTCCTGTGGAATTGTAGAACCCCTTATTGGTTCTAGGCAGCCAAACTCAATCATATCTTAATTGCTTCAATTACATTTATTTTATTTTATTTTATTAATTAATTAATTAATTTATTTATTTATTTTTTGTGTGTGTGTACATGGAGGTCAGAAGACATCTTGTACAACTCAGTTTTCTCTTTCTACCATGTGGGTCCTAGGGATTAAATTCAGGTCATCAGCTTTGGCAGCAAGTGCCTTTACTCACTGAGCCACCTTACTGACCCGCAATCACATTTAAACATGGTTTATGGATTAGAGTCAGGGCATGGCACCCTTCTTTACCCCACCTCATATCACAGAAGGTAGGTAGCTTGCTGAAGGTCCATTTTCTGCTCCATTATGTTCTTGTTTCCCCAGTACTGTTTGAAACTCTACATCTCTTTGGCTTGTAGAGTTCTGTCAGTGTACATTGTAGGCAGGCCTCTGCCCAGACATTTCTTGTTCTGGGTCAAGTGTAGCTGCTTTGTAATAGGCCCTTCTGGAAGAGCTAGCTCTCTCTTTTCTCTTGTAAGGATTACTTGGTTATTCACACTCCCTTTTTTTCTATAACTTTAAGGGTTAATTTATCTAGTTCCTGAAAAAATTCCAACTGTAGTGTTGAGTAAGTTTTGTGGATGTCATGTTGAGTTACAGGAGCTGGATTTCTGGTGGTGTTTGATTTTTCCCCAAGACTGGAGAAACCGCTGCACCAGCCCAATTTTTAAAGGTCTGGATAGATGTGGTATGCACTCACATATGTTAATCACTAGATCAATACTTTATAGCTCTAGTATAAATTCTATTTTTTTTCTAATTGGTTACGGCTGGTATTGATCAATGCTTTCCTTTTTATTGGCTTCTTATTACTAGAAAGTTGAATAAAGCTTGAATATAAATGTGGTGGTACAGGCCTGTAATCCCTGCATTTGAGAGGCAGGCCAAGGATGGAGAGTTTAAGGCCAATGTGGGTTACAGAATAAAACCCTGTCTCAAAAAACAAATAAAAAGGAAGTGAAATTCATATAAAAACTGTTTAAAGTGTACATTTATCATTCTGGGAACCACCACCTTTAAATAAAAAAATATTTTTTTGGAAACATCATACGTGAAAAGAAATATATTTGTAAGGAAACCAGAGATAGAAGAAAAGTTCACTAACATGATAAAGTTTTAGTGGATTTACCTATTCTAGTCATTTTCTATAAATGGAATCATATACTATGGGACATTTTGTATCTGACTTTAACACTATTGATTTTTCTATCGTTGGTAAAGTATATACAACAAAATGTACACGTTAAATCATTTTTAGACAGATCAGTAGCATTAAGCACACCTGCCTTGCTGTGTAGCCATCATCACTGAGCATCCCCACACTGAATACTGTTTTAGAGACTGTATGCCTGTGAATTATACAGGATCAACTGACCCCTTTGTAATAGGCCATTTCATTTTGATGTTTTCAGGGAAATATTATTGAGTTTTGTAGGTTTATTGTTTTTTTGTTTTTAAATATTTTATTATTTTTATTTTATGTATATGAATATATTGCCTGCGTGTATGTGAGTGCACCCGTGTTGTGCAATGCCTCGGAGGTCAGAAGAAGGCTTTGGATTCCCCTGGAACTGGAGTTAAGGACGGTTCATAGCCACCATGTGGGTGCTGGGAATTGAACCTGGGTCCTCTGCAAGAGTAGTCAGTGCTTTTAACTGCTGAGCTATCTCTCCAGCCCCTGATCTTTGTTTTTTGAGACAGGGTCTCCCTATAGCCTCAGCTGGTCTGGCACTCGCTATATAGACCAGGCTAGCCTCAATCTCACAGAGATTCACCTGCCTCTGCCTCCCGAGTGCTGGGACCAAAGGTGTGCACCACTACTCCCAGCTATTGGGTTGTTTTTTGTTTTTTGTTTTTTTGAGACAGGGTCTCCCTGTAGCCCCAGCTGGCCTGAAATGCACTATGTAGACCCGGCTGGCCTTGAACTTACAGAGATTAGCCAGCCTCTGCCTCCAGAGTACTGGGACTAAAGGCATGCACTACCATGCCCAGTCACTGTTCTGTTATTGAGTGTGCTGGATAGCTTTAGTGTCAACTTGACACACCTGGGTTGATGGCACCTCAATTGGGGAATTGCCTCCACAGGACTGGCTTGTGGCCATGTCTGTGGGGCATCTTCTTGATTGTTGAGTGATGTGCGAGGGTCCAGCCCACTGTGGGTGGTGCCATCCCTGGGCAGGTGGGCCTGTGTTGCATAAGAAAGCAATCTGAACAGGGGCCAGGGGAACAAGCCAGTAAATAGTGTTCTTCTATGGCCTGTGCTCCAGTTCCTGCCTCTAGGTTCCTCCCCTGAGTTCCTCCCTTGGACTCCTTGATGAAGTGTGACCCAGGAGGTGTAAGCCTAATAAACCCTTTCCTCCTCAAGTTGGTATTAGTTGGAGTATTTTGTCACAGCAATGGAGAAACAAACTAGAACATTGATGCTATATTGGTTTTGCTTAATTTTTTGGTGTTAGAGATTGAACCCAGGGCCTTGCCTGTCCCATGCACTTACCTTAAACTACACTGCCAGCTGATATCTTCTATATAACAACCTTGACGTAATAGTTTCCTCATTGATTATGACTTTCTAGAAAGAGAAATCAGTCTTCTGAAAAATAACATTAATTGTATCTCTGCTATTATGATCTATATACATCTTGTGCATTTTCCTCTCCTTGTTCTGTGGACAGTTGCCTCCAGTGCTGTGTTGAGCGGCAACTGCTGTTGGGACACCGGGACCTGATGCAGACCTTCCAGAGAATGTACTGAATTCTGTGTCTATCTGCTGTGAGGTTTGGTTTGTAAACTTTTATCATGTTAGTGAATTTTCTTCTATCCCTGGTTTGCTTACAAGTATATTTATTTTCTTTGTTTTTTTTAAAGGCATGGTCTCATGTAGCACAGGCTGGCTTAAACTCCTTATCATCCTCCTGCCACCTCCTGAGTGCTGAGGTTACAGGCCTGTGCTACCATGCCTGGTTTATGTGGTGCTGGAGAGAGAACCCAGAGTTTTGTGTGTGTTAGGCAACCACTGTACCAATTGAGTCACATCCCCGGCCTAGTTTTAAATTTACTGGAAGCTTTTTTTGAAATTTATTTTAATTGTATGTGTATAGGGAGGGTATGTGCAGGTGCCCTCAGAGGCTAAAATTATTGGATGACCCCAAAGCTAAAGTTACAGGCAGTTTTGAACTGCCTGGTATGGGAGCTGGGAATCAAACTCTAATCTTCTGCAAAAGCAGTTCTACTCTTAATAGCTGAACCATCTCTCTAGCCCCTATTCAAAGCTTTTCTTGCACCAGTTGA